TTGAAGAAGAGGTCCGACCTGATTTTCCATGCCCAATTGTTTACGAGGAATTTGATATTGCCCTCTCTGTGCTCACATCTAGAAGATGAGCACTCTTGCGAGTCAAAAGCCACCGTGAGTTTCTCTATATAGATCAGCAGTTTCATATAGATTTGTGGATATCTGTATTGATGTGTATATTAAATGCATCTATGTGTTTTTAGCTTATTTCTTTTTGTAATTACAACTTTGTTGTATTTTCCTTTTTGGGTTGCTTTCTGATTTGCTTTTGTTGTTGAAAATATTGATCTTTGTTGTACTTTTGTTTAAAAGGGGCCAATAGAATCTAATTTTCTGCTAAAGATTTATTTTTCCAATTTCAATGGTATGAAGATCGAAATTTCAGTTTCTGTATGTCTTGTGCTTCTGCGTTTGTGCTTTTGTTTTTGTTTTTTGTTTTCCATTTCTTTTCTTCTTTTTTTTTGGGTGGTTCAAGTGGTAACAGGACGAATGAGTTCGAATCTTAGTAAAACATAGGACCAGACCATGCCGTGGGTGGCCAACCTTTGATCGGAGGTGACCATGTTTTCCATTTCTGCATAAGGGGGTGTTGGATATGATGAGAGGTGACTATGTTGGTGTTATAGATAGGTTATCACTTGTTTGTCTGCAAACTAAGTTTGTCAAAGCCACCAGGTTAAAGTATGATTTTTTTTTGGGGAGAAATAAGGAATCTCTCCACGGCAAAACCACATTGGATGCACGGCAGAATCTTGCTGAGGTTTACTTGTTAGTGTATATTTATTTATTATTGTAGTTTAAACAATGTTAGGAATGCATTATCTGCTTCATTCTTGTAGCGGCAAAATGGTCTCAAATGATAGGAGTATGTTTTTTGGAGGTGAATAAGCAACATCATATTTGACTTGCAAACAAAATGGTGAATGGTGAATAAGCAACACCAGTTATATGTTCAAGCTGAGGCTGTTGATTAATTGAATACTACATCACAATATTAATAAATGGTCAAAGGAGATTTCTGAACACATATACACACTGACGATCTTGATTCAATGGAATCAGAAGAAATTAGGTATCATGAGATGGCAGACTTAAATGGGCATATGATTTGTGAGCTACTGCCTTCTGCTATAAGCTGAAGCATAGGCTTTAAGAGACGTAAAGATTAAAGTCCAAAACAGTGGATCCCGATGGAGATTATCACAAATGTCCACTGGGAATGAGATTCATTTGAATAATTGAAGTTAGTAGACCCTTCCTTTTCCCTTACAGATCAGATATCTTTAGGTCCAGAGTTAGATCTATTCTCTACTTCCTTGCATTCCAGTTTAAGGCAATGTGCGATATGATACTTTTGGTAGTATGTGTTTTTAGTTGGTAGGGCCTCGTTGATTGATTTTGTATCAGCTCCTTTTGATGATGAATATCTTAATCTAAAGATGTGGGTGCTGATCATATTTAACTCCTCTGCACAGACCCCGTGGAAAAATGAATGATTTAAGTATTGTTATAGAAGGTTTCCAACAAGATCCTAGTGGCTGCTTGTTGAGTAGAATTTATTTTTTAGTAGCTCAGTTGTCTGGCCTTCTCATCTTCTAGTTGAAATGCTGATGTGATGATAATTCTGAAAATTCATGAAGTGGTTCATCTCTTGGTTCAGAGAGATTTATTTTCATTATTACAAGTGTTAAAGGGAAAGATTGATGATTCCATTGAACTGCCAGTAACAGTCTAAGAAAGGAGGTATTATAGAAAAAGTTGTTGTAAGGGTGTTAATGCAGATCTAGGAAAATATCATTACTTTGAGGGGCAATGAAGGTTTAGTGGGGAAGCACAACTGAGTAAAATATGCCTAGTTTGTTGCGCCTCCAATGACATGGGTAATGACTCCATAGTTTAGTCACCATCACCTGCAGCATTGCTATGGGCTAAACTGTGTGTGTAACGTGGAACTGGGTATAACCATTGTGAGCCAGGTTAGTGTTCTGTCACTTGTGATGGCCATGTAACCCTTTGACTTTTTACTTCTTAGTGACCTAGTTTGGAGTTGTTTGATGAGTTTCTCTTGGTTCTGCTTTTATGTTTGGTTTCAACTTTCAACCTCCAACCTCTTGTTGATTAAGGGGAATTGTCAATTGACCAGTATGATTGCAGAGCTTGATCAATCTAAGCCTCTGCTATTTCCATGTCACACGGCATGAGTGGGGTTCTGGTTTTCTGAACAGTCATGATTTGTGAAAATAATAATTAATCATTAATCCAGGAGAGGGAGTAAAGATGTCTTGACTGTTCTTGCTTAAAGATTCACTGCTAGTAGTATTTATGTAGTAATTTCTCATGACAAGAATCTCATACGGAATTTACTCTTACCTTGCAGGTTTGTCCCATTTGCTCTGTTAAAGTTGCAAGTGACATGTTAAGTCATATCACGATTCAACATGGACACCTATTCAAGATATCCTTTGAAATGGAAGAATCATTAGTGTGTAACTTGTCCTTACAGCTTCAACAATATGCCTATAGGCGCACTGTTGATAATCTTGCACCATTTTCAATTCCTTGGAGTTTTCTTTAACTTGTGATCACTTGCAGAGACGTCGCAGATTACGTAGAGTTGCAATTCCCAACAGTCAGGCACTTTCCCTTTTGGGCAGGGATCTTCGCGAGGCCCATCTGCAGGTGCTTCTAGGGGGTAGTGGCTACCGGTCAAATAGTGCTACTTCATCTAATGCAGTGTCTGATCCATTCCTTTCATCACTTGCTCTGAACTTCCCTGCATCTGAAGCAGAAGACATTTCAAAATCTGTGGTATCCAGTATTGAGGACACTTCTATGAAGAGTACACCGTCACAACATATATGGAAATCAAGGTAATGGATCAAGTTATTTTTCTGTCTCATAGAGAACCTTGCACTTCTCATCGATTTTTGAGCACCTTGCAACTTGCATACACATTTACTATTTTCCGTAGCGCACAAGAGTTAGTTGTATGGTGGACCGCCAAAGGATATAGTAGGCAATGTACCTGTAATTCATGACATTGTTAATTAGAAGATTTGAGTTGGATTATATGTGTAAAGTAATATATATCATTAACTTAGGCTTAATCATGTCAAAAAAAGAGAGCTTGTTATTCATAAGTTCCATAGTACTTTTTGTTTCACTTGACAATTATTAGGAAAGATTGCACATTGTAAAGTGGCTAGTATACTTGCTTGTCGTAGAGGCTCTCACCCCATGTCGTTGCCATTTGCTGAGTGTGCTAGGAAATGATCCCTTGCAGATACCCAAAGAATATTGAGGCCATATTTTCACATGGGTTGTCTATATCTTTTTCTTCCAATATATTTATTCTTGTTTTTCATGAGCGATAAAGAGGAAGTTATTCAAATGCAAGAAAAAAAAATAGAATTAGAAGTCAAGTAAGAAGGAAGGAGGCTAGTCCCCGAAAATGCTCTGCGCATAAGTTCGTTTGTCGTAGGGGCTTTCAATTCACCTTCTGACTCATTCCTTCGGTCGAGCCTTCTTCAGGCGTCGATCAATCTATCACAAGACGCTCTGTCATTGTCTAATTTTTGGTTGTCTAATCACACAATACTTATCGTAAATCTTGGGACTGCTTTAAGATAGATCACGTAGTTACTTGAATCATTACTTTTGTTAAATGACTCACTCCCTCATGTTTGATGCACCTGAGCTCCTGCAAACGATGTCTTCTAGATTTATTTTATTTCTAACAGTAGCGCCCTCCACCCCCCCCCCCCCCCCCCTTTTTGTTTGTCCGCGTTTCTATGTTCCCCTTCCTTGCAGTTTTGATCAATCATTGAGTCATGAAGAACGGGAAAAGAGAATTAGGCAGGCTGCTGGAAGGTCTGTTTTTATCCAAGACCTGCTTCTCTCGACTGTGTTGGCCGACTAGTGGAAGCAGTAAGTTATTGCAATTTTCAAAATAATGCTAGAATGATATTCAGTAATTCTGATCATGGGCAGTTTTGGGTGGGCTTCTAAAGATTTACATTGTTGAACAACCCAATTCATGCCCCGATGTTTTCTACGGAAGCAGCATTTGTGAGTGCTTATTAGTTGATCATCTTTAGAGGTTCTCAACAGTGGTGCTGCTATGGAAAGAAGTGGATCATCTAATGTTATGAAAATTTTACTTTAAATTAGTTGTTGCGTTGCTAGCTAAACCCTTTGAAAGCGTACTTTCGGCTAGAAATGGATGGGTCTTATGTTATGGTTTGTTTCAGAGGCTGTTAAAAATTAATAGTCCTACTTTCTATCGAATGATAACGTTGAATTATGTCCATGGTACGGAATTAGATATGCGTTTTGTTAGTGCAGTGACATTTCAGACTAAACTCTGATCAAATCTTGCTAGTCTGTACCATATGTGAGTGTAGTTAAAGGGGTTTGCTTATTGCTCTCTCATTTCCTAATTTTCTGTTGGTATTTTCATTTTTTTTTTTTTTGGAGTGAAAACCCACAGAAACGTAGTCCAAGCTCATAGTCGAAGGCCTTGCTAGCTAGTCTTTTGATTCGTTAGGGATCAAAAATTATTGGGAAAGCTTGTTTGCAAGAAACTGTATGTTTCAATGACAAAGTGGAGATTGATAGATGTGGTGTTATAATACATGGAAAATGTAGGTGTTAAATTTAAAGTCTTTCAACCAGAGGCTAAGCCTGATTAGCTGTCTACGTTACTTGAGATCTCATTGACATGGTTTGCTTGGGATATGGGAATCCATTTATATTGGCTGTCTGGTCTACGATTCTACACTGAACTCTAAGCTGGGCCTAGTCTGGCATAGGCCCATCAGGTTGGACCATATATTTCAATTCATGGAATATCAAAACTTTTTTGATAAAAATTGAAACAAATTAATTATCAATTTACGATAATTTTAAAACAAAATTATTAAATTGCGGCACTTTAGAATATATCAAATTACGACATTTTTAAAAAAAATAGGATTGTTGATTATGCTATTGTTAAAAAAAAAAAAATACACACACAGTCAACAATTCCGTTTTTTAAGAGTGAATTCATTGGACGTAACATCTTTCTTTTGCATCTGATTGAAACATTGAATAATTTTATCAGACCAAAGATTAAAAGTAACTTTGTTTTTAATTTAAAAAAAAATATTGTAGTTTCATAAATCAATTTAAAAGTAATGCAAACATATTTTAAATTTTTTATTTCAATTATAAAAAACTAGACCAAATGGATGGATAATATTCACATAAAAAAATATTTGATTATTATACTAAGATGATATTATAATAGTTAGATACATGTGAAGGTGGACCCTTTTAGTTTCCTTCCAAACAGACCACGGCCAAAATTGAAAACTCACAATTGCAAAAGGACGGTTGGGATTTAACGGCGGTCGGTGTTGTGTCTGTTAGAATCACAAGAACCTGAATGACTTCTCTGCTTTTATTGAAGACTCAACTTGCCTTTTATAGTCATTTACAACTGTAACTGAAAGAATAAAAACAGCTCACATTAGCTTTATCTTAACTACGTGATTAACAAAATAAAATGAATAACATGTCTAAAGACTAGGACTCATCCTAAAGACAAGGATTTATTGAAACACAAAAAGACTAAGTAAACAACGATCTCTTCATACCCTCCCCTCCCTAAAACTAATTTGCAAACTGCAATTAGTTTATATCACTAGCTTCACACACTCCCATCATCTTCCTGAGTTTCTGAAATGCTTCTAATTTTAATGGCTTTGTCATCAAATCAGCCAGCTACTCCTGAGTTCCACAATGAATTAATTCAACTACACCATCTTTTGTAAGATCTCTCAAGAAATGAAATCGCACATCAATGTGTTTGCTCCTTCCGTGCATAACTTGATTTCTTGAAAGTCTGATCGTTGATCCTTCTGTTCATGACTCAACTTCTTCAACACTCTCCTCATCCATATTGCCTTGCAGGCACATGCAACAGCCACGAATTTTGCCTCAGTGGTTGACAATGTAACTATGAGTTGTTTTTTGGATAGCCATGAAATGACACCTGAGCTTAAAAAAAACACATAACCAGACGTGTTTTTACGATCTTTTGTATCACCTGTATAGTCACTATTCGTGAAAGCAAGCAACTCTTCTTCTTTCCCTCCCTTCTTATACAAAATTCCATAGTTTGTAGTGCCCTTTAAGTATCTCAAAATCCTTTAGGTAGCTTGTAAGTGAAGTTTAGTGGGTTTAGCCATGTACCTGCTGATTAAACTAACACTGAACATTATATCTGGACGAGTTGCTGTGAGGTACATCAAACTTCCCACCATTTGTTTGAAATTCGTCGCATCCACTGCAATTTCATCATCATCTCTGCTCATTTTGAAACCTGGTACTATTGGGCTGCTTACAGGCTTGCTTTCAAACATGCTAAAACGTTTCAACACTTCAGCAACATACCTCCTTTGACAAATGAAAATGTCATCTGGTTTTTGTAGTACCTCAATGCCAAGGAAGAATCTCATTCTTCCCAAATCAGTCGTGTCAAAGACTTTCATCATAGAATTCTTAAAATCAGACATCATATCCTCATAATCACTAGTGTAAATCAGATCATCCACATAAATACTTACCATCAAGATTTTACCTACACTGCTCCTCTTGGTGAATAAAGTCTGCTCATTCGGGCACTTTTGGAGGCCGTCACTAATGAAATAAGCTTCATTTCCTTTAGGTGAATCATTCACAACTGCATGCTTTTCATTTCTTTCAGCTTCTTCATTTCCTTCACTAGCAACATCAAGATTCTCATCACCTTCATCATTGTTTGAGTCATTCTTGTCATCATCACTCCACTCAAGATTTACCAAGACTTGTTCCTCATAGCTATTGTCCCACTCCCATTGTCTATCCACCTCAAATACTATATCTCTACTTATCACCACCTTTTTGGCCACTGGATCATACAGTCTGTAGCCCTTTGACTCCTCTCTAAATCCCAAAAGCACACATTCAAGGCTCTTGTTATCGAGCTTAGTTCTTTTGGCATCTGGCACGTGAACATGTGCCACACACCCGAAGACTCTAAAATGTTCAACCGTGGGTTTCACACCAGACCATGTGATTAACTATCAAACTTACTATTTTATTATATTTAATGATTGGTTAATTACATATTATTTGTAATTAAATGTGTTAAATTTCTTGATTTTTTAATTTGATACTTTTTTTAGTTATTTGGTTTGTTTTACAGGTAAATTGGTTGATTTAAAGTAATAATGAATAATGCAAGTGAATCAATCACTAGAGGAAGAATCACATTTGATAAGGATTAAAGAGTCATTATTGAGATAGGAAGACTTGAATATATGATAGCAATTTAATCCTTATAAGAGTCTAAGATGGAAGAAAACTCATTTAAAGTTAAATTAGGAAAGTATCCTAAAAGAATAAGAATTTATCATATTTTCAGTATTCTGGTCATAACTTTTGACTTTAATATCCGATTTACTTGATTTTTGGGTTCTAAAAAGAAGACTCCAAGGGCTACAAAAGTGTATTTCATGAAAATTTCGTGATTTAGCCTCTAAATATGCAAAATTCAAGCTCGAAGACTGGACAAATTTTATACCCGCGCTCCAAAGATTTTATGCACGAGATTTAACCTTACAAAACTTCTCTTGGGAAAGAAATTCTTTCCAAGCCAACTTTATATCTTCTACTTATATTTAGGATTTATTTTTAGTATAAATAAGGGTTCTCATCTAGAGTTTAGATGATAATTATTTTCCTCATCATTTCTTTTCTAGTTTTAGTTTGTCATGTCTGGCTAGAAGGCTAAACTAAGGCTAGGGGAGAACCTCTTAATGAAGTACGATAATGTTATTGATTCTGAGTTTAATGATTTATGATATTTTGTTAATTTAACTTTTGATCTTATAACAAAATTTTTGCTCTGTAAAAATTCTAGAGTTGTTGTGACATGTACATCGATTGCTTGAATTTCCCTGCGAATAAATAACTGGTTATTTCATGCTTGAGGTAATTATCATTATTTCATAAAATAATATAATTGGATGATTATTCAGGTTCCTAAATAATCTTTTGATTATAACTTTTGATTTTCTTACTTGATTTGTTATTCGAATCAACTGACATCTGATTCTTGTTCAAAATTAAGTTTTGAGTCCTTAATCATTATTGTATCGAATTGAAAGGGAGTACCTGATGCTCTATTATTTTTATTATATTATTTTAATTACTCCAATCAATATTTTCTCATCTCGACAATCTCTTAAATAAATTGTTCTTACAAGTCTGCTTTTTATTTGTTTTGTGTCTCTTATTTTTCCAATTTCCTGTGGTTCGACCTCGGACTCCCGAGAAATTTATTACTTCGCAAAACCTGCACTTGGGTGATCAATTCTAAAGTTGTAACATCATGCTTCTTTAGGGGTGACATTTTTGACTACCACTGTAGGACTTCTGTTTAGCACATACACGGTCCAATTCACTACCTCAACCCAGAAGGTTTTTGGGATCTTCTTTTTTGAGAGCATTGAACGAACCATATTCATCACTATCCAATTCTTTCGCTCGACAACTCCATTCTGTTGCGGGGTGTATGCAATGGTAAGCTACCTTTTAATGTCACACTGTCTGCAAAACTCATTGAACTCCTCTGAGTTGAACTCATTGAACGCCTCTATCAGTGCGTAAACACTTGATATACTTCCATGTCTCCTTCTCAACAAGTCTCTTAAAGCATTTAAATGAATTCAATGCTTCTGATTTTTTAGCTAAGAAGTAAACCCATGTTTTTCTACAAAAATCATCAATAAAGCATAAGGCATTCCTTTTTTTGCCATTTGATGTGGGAGTCACGAGATCAAATATATATGTATGTATGAGCTGTAGTTTTTTGGTTGCCCTCCATGCACT